CAGTTTATTTATACTTTTTTAGGCCATATTTACTCCTCTCTCTTTTTTAAAAAAGGTATATTTGTTATAGGTAGTTCTACTTCACACACACCTCCTCTTCCCTCTCACCCTTCATCCTGCTGTTGAAGAAACCACTGTCCTTGGATCTGTACTCATATGTGCCCATAAACAGTAAATACTAGATTTTGAGTTTTGAAATTCTGTAAAAAGATGAATATAATATATATATACTAGAGGCCCGGCACATGAAATTCATGCACAGGTATGGTCCCTAGGCCTGGCCTGTGATCAGGGCCATCTTTCCTGGCTGCCCGCAGCCAGCCCCGCCCCCTGCTGCCACCCACCCCCAGTCCCTGTTCGCCATTGAGCAGTCGGAGTCTGCTAGCCAGGGGGAGGAACCAAGAGGTTGGCCGTTACCACCCGCTCACCAGCCCCGCCCCCGCCCCCGCCCCCACTGCAAGTCGCCCTCTGTGTGTGGTGCAACTGGTGGGGCGGGAGCCTTGGCCTGGCGCTGCCTGCATTCCCCGCCACTTACCCTGGTTCCCTGTTTACCATCAGACAATGGGATCCTGCCAGCCAGGGAAAGGGACCGAGAGGGGCCAGTGTGCCTCATAGTGACTGGTCGAGCGGTCATTCTAGTTATTCTGCCATTAGGGTCAATTTGCATATTACCCTTTTATTATATAGGATGGTACCTTTCTAAAAACTTACTAGTACATGTACACTGAGTTTACTTTAAGTCCTATTTAGTCTTCCATTAGATGACTAAACCACTGTTTAGCCATTTCTCTACTGGGGACACATTTCCATTTCTTAGCTGTTACAGATAGCATTGCAGTTGAATATTCCCTAAAACATACTTCCAGCTCTTCTAGGTGCAGTTGGCCCTCAGCCCTCCGTATCCATGGGTTTTGCATCTGCAGATGCAACCAACCACAGACCAAAAATATAAATAAGTAGAGAGAGAGAGAGAGAGAGAGAGAGAGAGAGAGAGAGAGCAAGGAAGAAGGAGGAGGAGGAGGGAGGGAAGGAAGGAAGGAAGAAAGGTAGGTCTTAGAATGTTCTGAAAATCAAAACATTGTTGAGCACTACAGTGAATCCACAAGAATGAAATGATGTGTAGGCATACCCAACATGGCCTGTATGCAAATGTAGGTTATGTGCCAATCCTACACTATTTTTTCTATGGGACTTGAACATTCTCAGATTTTGCAACCTGCAAGTGTCCTGGACCCAGTCCTCCTACAGGAGCAGAGGGAGGACTGTGTTGTCAAGTTGCTCTCCAGTGGCACTCTCCTTCCCCGAGGACTGTGTGAGTTCTCAGTTCTCATCCTCACCAAAACTTGATACACAATTTTTCAATTTTTGCCAAAAACTGAAAAATCTTATATATTGTTATATTTAACATTATTCATTTTATATTGTATTTCCCTAAAAACAGCTGAGAACAAACATCTTTTTATGTATTTGTTGGCCACTTGAATTTCCTCTACTGGAATTGCCATTTTGTCTGCTTTTTAAATTGGGTTGATTATCTTTTTCTTATAAATGAACAGAGTTGTATGTTCTGAACACTACCTTTGTAGACTACAAATATTCTAAGTACCTTTTCTCAGACTCTTGCTTGTCTCTTCACTTCATTTATGGTAATGTTTGGCATACTGTAACTTTTAAATTATAAAGTAAATGAAAGTATGTTTTCTTTTTTAGTTTGTGCCTTCTGTGTTTTATTTAAAAATCCTTCCCCACCCCATTGCCAAAAAGATGTTCCTCCTGTATTTTGTGCGGAAACATTTACAGTTTTGTAAATTACACTGTATTTGTGTCCCTAATCCATTGGGAGTTGAGATGTATGGTGTCAGGAAGGGAGCCTTGTTTGTCTTTATCCTTACATGTAGCTCATGTATCCTTTTCCCTCTGGTTTACCCATTTCTGCTGTATACCAAGTGCCCTGTACTTAAGAGTCTGCTTCTGTGTCCTTGCCCTTTAGGCCTGTTTGAGTAGCTCTACAAAGAGCCCACACTATTTTAAGTACTTAAACTTTATAGCATATCTTGAAATCTAATAGGCCTTATTATGCTTCTTTAAAATTACCTTGGCTTTTCTGTATCCTTTATTCCTTATTTTTAAATCTTTTTATTGTAGTATGTAACCCATACCAAAATGTTCATAAACTACAAGTGTCATGAAGCCAAACAAATCACTATAAAGTGAACACACTGTATAACCCCACACAGGATCAAAGAACTTCTCGCCCCCAAGGCTCATCCCTCCCATGGCTGCTCTCCTGGGACATGTAGTTACCTTCATGCTTGGCTTCATGGTTTTCCCACTCGATATGTAGTTCAGATCCATTCATTTACAGAAGGGGAATCATAGTGTATACAATCTTTATGTGTGGCTTCTTTCTCGCAGCAGTATATTTTTAAGAATTTAATCCTTAAATATCCCATATGAATTTTAGGATTGGCATTTAAGTTCTAATAACAACAACAAAAACCCTGTTAATATTTTATTTTTAATTATATTGAATTTGGTAAAAATTGGTATTTTAACAATTTTGCTCCTTCCCATTCATGGATGTGATTTCTATATTTATTTCTAGAATTTGGTTGTTTTGTGTGTTTTTAATGTCTCACACAGTTTTTTAGTTTTCTCTATGAAGGCCTTACATATTTTTGTTAGATTTATTCCTAAGTATTTTATAGTTGTTGCTTATGTAATTCACCTGTGGAGAGCCCTAGACCTCCCCTCTGGGCCTGCTCTACCCTCCTCAGAGCCTCCTTGATCCATGCCCTTCAGAGGTTTTATCTTCTTGCTGTAGAGGAAACAGAGGGTAGATACGGGCTGTGCTAAGTATGGGGAGGAATTGGGGTTGCTTCTTACAGAGTTAAAAACCCTCCACTTTGCTCTGGCCTTCCACAGTGCCTGTGCCTCTGATGCCTGAGCCTTGTCTGAGCTCCAGGGAATCCTCTTGCTGGCATTTGGATTTACCCTTCTTCCCATATACTAAGTGGTTTCCAATTATACAATGTGTTTTCCATTTTGTTAATGTGGGTCAAGATTACAGACGCTTTTTAGTTTCATCAAATGTGAAGTTTGTTTCTGTTTCCGATTTCTTTGTTGTTTTGTGCCATTTTTTGAGATAAGTGGCATGGATATGATTTGAGACCAAAAGTCCTCTGCAGTCACTCTTTAGCGTACTCCAGTATGTCCTCTGCTCCCACCACTGCACCAAAAGTGTTCTAACAAGGTCATCAAAGCTTCCATTTTGCCAAATGCTATGGTCCTTTTCCTCTCTGTCTCACTTGAACTCTGAGCTGCATTAAACATAGATAACTAGTATTCCCATCTTAAAACACTGTTCTCTTAGCTTCATTGATACTAACCTGTCCTAGTTTTCCTTCTGTTCCTTCTTGATTTTCTTTATTGCCTTCTCCTATTCTGTTCAACCCAAAAATATTGGTATACCCTGGATTCAAGGTGAAGTCCTCTCTTCTTTTTCTTTTTTCAGTCGTCACCTGAGGATATGCTTTTATTGATTTGGAGAGAGGAAGAAAGAGAGAGAAACATCAATGGGGTGTTGCCCATACACATCCCGACCAGGGATCCAACCTGCAACCTAGGCATGTGCCCTGACTGGGAATCGAACCTGCAACCTTTTGGTGTATGCACAATGCTCCAACCAACTGAGCCACCGAGCCAGGGCCTCTTCTCTCTTCTGTTATAGGTTCTCATTGCTTTTAATGCCATCAAATACCAGTGACTCCCAAATTTTTATCTCTGCTAATTTTTCTCTTGAGTTCCAGATTTGTATATTCAGCTACTCATTTGCTATCTCCACTAAGATTTCTAATAGATTCTTCAAAACTCATTCCTGCATTGCATTTATTGTTTTGCTGACTGAAATAGTCTTCTTCTGATTCGTCAAATGACTGATACCCCATTATCCTTAAGATCTCCACTCAGTGTCACTTCCTCTGAAGCTTCCCTGACCACCCTGCCTAAAGAAAGTCCCTGCTCCAAGTCACTTTTTTTTATTTCCTTCATAGAGCTTGCTTGGAGTTGCTTTGTGTGCTTGCTTGTTTACTGTCTGTTCTCCATATTGACCACCATTACCTCTGTAAGAGATAATTTGATCTTGATCTTGTCTTCTGCTGTATTCTTAAGTATCTAGAACAGTGCCTGGTGTATTGCAGATAAATTCTTTCCTAGTTAATTAATTTTATTAATAAAACATTAAAGTGTACTTTTCTCTAGACAGAAAGTTGTCAAATATACTCTAATTTGGTGTGAATAACTTCTTACCTAAGAATCAAATTCACAAAATTGAAGATTTTACAGAAGAATAGCCATACTCATTCATTTTCACCTAGAAAACCATAGACCATCTTTAGACTTCTTTTGCCACATATATTACCTTAAAGATGAAAATAGACTTGTTTGCAAATAGGATTGGTAATTGCTAACTATTGGCAAGGATTTTAAAAAATCAACAGAAAAATTTATTAAAACACTATGTAAATTTTACATTGCCTTTATTTTCTGATAAATTTATTATATGGCTGGGTCACATCATTGATCGTCAGAGTTGTTTTCTGCCACCCTCTCTCTCTGATGGCCATATGCCAATAAGAGTAACCACAGAGTTAGTGTGAAAGTATTTTGATAATCAGATCTTTTGTGGCTTTTTAAAAAATGAAAACATTGTTTTAAAAACATTTCACCTGTACTTTGAGTGTTAAATGGTTGGGATTTTGCTACCTCTCTCTCCTAACTTTTTTTTTTTTTTTAAAGCAAACTTGTTTACTGAGCAAATTAAATTATTTGTTGATTTGTACAGCTATTCTGCAACGTGGTAGGAGTTTTGGTTATCACCTAACTGCTAAAATGAAGAAAAATACCATCTGAAGTATTTTGTGGTTATTGATTTCTATGTTAAATGTGTTCTTTAAATTTTGATTACACTTAAACAATCCAGTTGGACTTTTTTCTTTTAGATTTCCGGTATCTGCTACAACAGCAAAATACTACAAGTTCATCAGGTGCTGTACATCCCAAGCTGGATGGCAAAGTTCTGTTCTTGGACGCTTGAGCCCATCTTCTCATCTTCAGAACCTACCACTGAAGCCAGAGTCGGGATGGGGGCCACAGTAGACATTCAGAGGCAGCAAAGAATGGAACTGCTCGATCGGCAGCTGATGCTTTCCCAGTTTGCACAAGCGAGGCGACAAAGACAGCAGCAGGTAAGCATAATAATAATCATTAAAAACTCAGAAATAAGCTGGGCGGTGCACCGGGACTGGCTGGGGAAACGAAAGTGTGGGAGGAGCTGGCGGTTCTGGCAGCAGCAGGGCCAGGCCCTGTAGTGCCGGCGGCAGCGGTGGCCTGACCCCCCTCTCCGCTCCCTGGCAGCTTGCCCTTTCCCCTCCGTTAACAATGAAGAGGAGAAATGATCCAAAATGCACTGCCCCTATCAAGAAACAGGAGAAAAGAGTTGCAGAGTTTGCCCTGAGCCTCAACTCCACATCTGATGATGAACCTCCCTCCTCTATCAATCATGCAGCGAAAGTATCTACCACGGGCTTCTGTGGGTCTGACAGTGAGACTGAGGGGAAGCAACTCAGCTCTGATGAAGCATTCAAAGCAGACCCTCTTGTGGAGGGAACTTCTTCCCGCTATTCCATGTACAACAGTGTCTCCCAAAAGCTTATGGCGAAGATGGGCTTCCGGGAAGGTGAAGGATTGGGTAAATACGGCCAGGGTCGGAAGGACATCGTGGAGGCCTCTAATCAGAAAGGTCGACGAGGCTTGGGTCTGACGTTGCAGGGCTTTGAACAGGAGTTGAATGTGGACTGGCGAGATGAGCCCGAGCCCAGTGCCTTTGAACAGGTGTCATGGTTCCCAGAATGTACCACTGAGATTCCTGACACTGAGGAAATGAGCGATTAGATGGTTGTGGGAAAGAGGAAGATGATGATTGAAGATGAAACAGAGTTTTGTGGGGAAGACCTGCTTCACAGTGTGCTGCAGTGTAAGAGTATGTTTGATGTCTTGCATTGGGAGGAGATGTGGCGAGCTCGGACCCGGGCCAATCCCTACAAGATGATTCAAGGAGTCTTCTTCCTGAACAGGATGGCAATGAAGATGGCCAATATGGATTTTGTGTTTGATCGCATTTTTACAAATCCACGGGACTCTTATGGGAAACCACTGGTGAAGGACCGGGAAGCGGAGCTTCTGTACTTTGCTGACATCTGTGCAGGCCCCAGTGGCTTCTCGGAGTATGTGCTGTGGAGGAAGAAGTGGCATGCGAAGGGCTTTGGAATGACTCTGAAGGGCCCGAATAACTTTAAGCTGGAGGACTTCTACTCGGCCTCCAGTGAACTCTTTGAACCTTACTACAGCGAAGGTGGGATCGATGGAGATGGAGACATCACCCGCCCAGAGAACATCACTGCTTTTCGGAATTTTGTCCTGGATAACACAGATGGAAAGGGTGTCCGCTTTCTGATGGCCCATGAGAGTTTCTCCATGGATGGCCAGGAGAACTTGGGAGAGATCCTCAGCAAGCAGCTGCTGCTCTGCCAATTTCTCATGGCGCTCTCTGTTGTCCGGACAGGAGGCCACTTCATCTGTAAAACCTTTGACCTGTTCACACCGTTCAGCGTGGGGCTCCTCTACCCTGCTGTACTGCTGCTTTGAACGAGTAAGTCTCTTTAAGCCGATTACCAGCCATCCTGCCAACTCAGAGAGGTATGTGGTGTGCAAGGGCCTGAAGGTGGGCATAGATGACGTGCAGGAGTACCTTTCTCAGTCAATATTAAACTCAACCAGCTGCGGAACACCGATTCCGATGTCACCCTTGTGGTTCCCTTGGAGGTGATCAAGGGAGACCATGAATTTACTGACTACATGATACGGTCCAATGAAAGCTACTGTAGTCTGCAGATCAAAGCTCTGGCCAAAATCTGTGCCTTTGTTCAAGACATCACCCTGAGTGAGCCTCGGCAGGCAGAGATCCGGAAACAGTGCCTCCGTCTTTGGGGGATCCTGGACTAGACTCGTGTGGCTCCTTCCTCCTCGGACCTGAAGTCTAAGTTCTTTGAGCTGATTTGGGGCACTGAGGTCGACATCTTCAGCTATAAGCCCACGGTGCTCACCTCCAAAACCTTGGAGAAGATCCGCCCAGTGCTCGACTACCGCTGCATGGTATCTGGCAGTGAGCAGACGTTCCTCCTGAGCCTGGGGAAGTCACAGATCTACACGTGGGACGGCCGCCAGTCAGACCGCTGGGTCAAGCTGGACCTGAAGACAGAGCTGCCCCGGGACACTCTCCTCTCTGTGGAGATTGTCCATGAGCTGAAAGGGGAGGGGAAGGCCCAGCGGAAGATGAGTGCCATCCACATCCTCGATGTCCTGGTGCTGAATGGCAGCGACGTGCGGGAGCAGCACTTCAACCGGCGAATTCAGCTTGCTGAGAAATTTGTGAAAGCTGTTTCCAAGCCTAGTCGGCCTGACATGAATCCCATCAGGGTGAAGGAGGTGTACGGGCTGGAGGGGATGGAGAAGACTTTTGTCAGGTTGGAGATGAAGATCATCAAGGGCTCCAGCGGCATCCCAAAGTTCAGCTACACAGGACGGGACAACGGCACTTTGTGCCCACTGGTCTCTACATGATCAGGACAGTGAACGAGCCATCGATGATGGGATTCAGCGAAGCTTTAAGAGGAAGTTCTTCTACAATAAGAAAAGCAAGATCTCTACCTGTGAGCTCCCTGCAGACGCCATTGCCCCATTTCACATCTGCTACTGTGGCCGGCTCTTCTGGGAGTGGGGGGATGGCATCCGTATACACGACTCCCAGAAGCCCCAGGACCCAGACAAACTATCCAAAGAGGATGTCCTCTCCTTCATCCAGACGCACCGCACCTGAGGGCCCGGGGACCCCCACTCCTACTGACACCCCTGCTGTTCAGTTAGGTTGCTCTACCTGGGCCCCTCTCGAAAGGGATACGGCAGCACAGCCTGGCCATGAGGGGTGGATGGTCTCCTCTCCATCGCCCCTGAAGAGCTCAGTCGGGGGCCATCAGAGGACACTCACATGTTCCTTCGGGACACCTTTTAGACTTCCCTCCCCGGAGACCTGCCTGGGAACTGTCTCCCCTGCCAGGACTCAGCCTGAAAGACGCTGCTCCTACGTGGTGTGCGGTCAGGGCCCAGGGCATGTGGGGCTGCGGAGGACGTGTCAGAGCAGCAGGGCTTTGGCTCTGCTCTTCTCTCCTGTGTCCTGTAGACTCACTTTTCTGAGTTCTGTCACTGCCCTGAGAGTATCCATGCCCCAGCTTTGCCCATCTTTTTACTGGGCCAACCCTTAGTGGGTGAGCCCACTGTCGGGAGCTGGCCAGGAGCACCTGCTGTACAAATCAAGGTTGTGTTTCTTTGAACTTGCTCTGTTTTGATGCCAGGTTGGAGAAGATTTTCTTGTCTTGTCCCCCCACCCTGCCTTGGTCTTCCCTGGAGCTCTCAGCCTAGACCTCTGACAGTCCCGCAGGCCGGGACAACACACCAGGATGCAGGTAGCACTGTCTGGTAGTGGATGTGACTGTCTCCTGGGGTGGTAGGGCCTTCCTGGGCCCCATCCCCTTTTGACCCAAATCTTGAGCAGCTCTAGAAGGGGAGGAAGCACCCTCGAAGCCCTGCCTTTTTCTGTGCCCCAGCAGCAGTGGCCCCACTGCAACAGAGGGTACCTCATTTGCCACAGCCACCTTGCTACCCTTCCTCCCCTTCCTCCCCATAGGGGGTTCAGTCACTTTTGCCATTCTAAGATGTTGGCTGAGGAGGAAGAGGGGAAGATGGGCAGTAGCTCTGGGTGGGGATGGCACTGATGGTTGTTTTTAATGGGAAATACTGCCAGAGACATTCATACAGGCTCCCTAGGGCCCCATCCCAGTGCTAGACTGGTTTCTGTGGAGATAGGGCACTGAGGCTCCCTACCAGGTCGAAATTGGCTACACCTTGCGGTGGTCATATGTCTCCAGCCAGCATCCAGCCCTTGTGCTTCCCCACCCCTCCCACGCCCCACCCTCCATCCCCCGGGTTGGCAGCAGCACTGCTAAAATGTATTTCCACCCAGTTCTGGGTATATATGTATCTTGCAAAATCTTGGATCATTAAAAATAAGCATATTTTTAAAAAAATTTTCAGAAAGCCCTAACCGGTTTGGATCAGTGGATAGAGCGTCGGCCTGCAAACTAAAAGGTCCCAGGTTCGATTCCGTTCAAGGGCATGTACCTTAGTTGCAGGCACATCCCCAGTGGGGGTTGTGCAGGAGGCAGCTGCTTGATGTTCCTAACTCTCTATCCCTCTCCCTTCCTCTCTGTAAAAAATCAATAAAATATATTTTAAAAAATTTCAGAAATACTCAGTGGCCTAAGTAAACTTCTCTGTGACTGTAAGTGTGGTAGAGACTGCATTTTATTCCTGTACATTGCAGTGTAGATATTTGACAAGTTTCCAAATAGAATGTACGTCTCTGTTAGTGCCCATTCTTAGTGATTTTTTTTAAGGTGAAAGAGTAAACTACAGCCAAAAGACTGGTCAAACTGGACATTCTTGTTCCGCTTCTATTAGACAAGGACTATTTCTTAGAGAAACACCAACCTAGTTAACAAGACATGATATTTATCTGTTTTTAAAATCTTGTAAAAGCCACAGTGTCTTCCTGTTAAAATGCTTATCATGTGCTCTAGAGTGAAGAGCAAATGTAAAACTTCATGATTTTCTTTGGTTGAAATAGACTGTGAAGGTAAGAAATTTTTCAAGGGAACAACCCATGAATTAATCAAATAAATGCAGTGTTTTCTTAGCCTTGTCATCAGTCATCAGGAAATATTGAGCATTGTCTACAATAAACTGCTGTATCCAAGCAATCTGATACCATACTTTCCTTTCAAGGATTACTATACAGAGTTAGGCAAAAGTAGGTTTACAGTTGTTCGTATAGAAAATAATACAATAATTAATAAATAATAATACAAGAGTGAATGCTGTGTTTCACGTACTCACAACTGTAAACCTACTTTTACCCCACACTGTATGTCAGGCTCAGACTTCAAATCTGCTCTTTCTTTGACACTTTTATAATGCAGTATGCTGGGCTCTTTACTTCTTGTCCCCATCTTCTTTATCCTCTGGGATATGAGAGAGGATACTCTTCTCACCACCTCCGTGTCTCCTGCTTTCACTGGGTGTGAGATGTAGGTCTGCAGACCTCACAGTGGTCTGAAGAAGTGAAGTCAGATGTGACACTCCTGGTGTCCCACTGGAGATGTAGGTCTCAAGAGTTCATGTCTGGGGTAGGAAGAGGGGAGCCCCTTATCAACTGGCTGCGTCTACAGGTGAAAGAGAAGTGAAGGTTATTCCCTGCAGATGTATTTGAATTCGGTGAATCTGGAACATTACAATAAAGATACCTATGATGTAGTTAAATATGGAGCACAGTCATCTCTCTTACGTCAGAGCTGGAGGTGTAGATCATGGAGTCAACTTTGTAGAGTTGAGAGATGAAAGCAAGGTGCTGGGTGAGTTCTGTAAGAGAATTACATCCAAGGTGAACATAGGCTATAGACTAAGTCTTACATTTAGCAGGAAAAGGTAGATCCTTCAAGGAAACAGGGAAGAATGAAAAGTATGAGGACTTGGAATGATCAGTGTCTGAAAAACTGAGTAATGGTGAGTATAAATATTTTCCAGGCAGAATGAACCTAGAGCTATGAAGGAGAGAAAGAAGTACCATATGATTCTTGTTTAGTAGCATAGATTTCTTGTTTAGATAACAGGGTAGATCGGTGACAGCACCATATCACCAACATCAAAAGAGCAGTTTTACTCATCTACTGAGCCAACGCTTCTATGAACCAATACACGACTGAGCTACCTGGGGACTATCTGGGAGGAGCTCCCCCATTAGATAGCTATGGCTCCTGTGCTCATGAGCAAAGCAGGAAAGTGGTATTTCTCAGATTGGAGTCTCCAGGCAGATTTTTTTTTATGCATGAAGATTATCGAGAACACTATCAAGATCAGAGTCTCTGGGGCAGGGGTGATGAGGACAGAGGTGGACTTTGAACAACAGTTACAAAAAAGGCCCGAGATAATTTTATGGAAAGCTGTGGAGTTGGAAGAGCCCCTACAGGTTGTCTCAAATTCAGACAGAAGCTGAAACTAAACCTCCACCAACCAGTCATTGGGTGCAGATTGCAAACCTTGGGCTGACTGGCTCTCCTTGGATGCACACCATCCCCAGGGGGCATGTCCCTTGAGAACTGCGGCGTTCTAGCACCCCCAGCAGCAGGAAGATTGAGCACTTCAGTTGCGAGGGAAGTGGGGGATCTGGGCAGCAGACCACAGCATCCACCCCCTGTGCTGCTCGGATCTTCTTGGTTTACCTAAGTTCTTGGAGCAGCTCTTCCAAGAATCCAGAGGCACTCTTTCCTATAGAACACTTCAAGAGGAAGGATAGTAGGATAAACTACATCTCCTTCTGCCTCAGCAGGTCTCACAATCACACTGATCATCAACTCATTCCTCTACTGTTCATTGGAGAGTCCCCTCACTCTTGGCTGAAAGGCTTAGTTGGTTGGTGAAAGTGACACATACCCACACATACCCTGTGGGATCTGAGTCCCTGGTACCAGGCCCTTCTCAGACTGGGTCTGCTGCCCATGTCCAATTACTGTAAAACTGAGCAAGGGAGTAAGTAACAACAGATGCCTTGTTGTGTCACCGGGGTGCCACACATAGTCTTCCCTCCCCCTTTTGGTGCCCACAGCTTTTCTTGATGATCAGGGTTAATTACTCCTGTGAGGATAATGACTTCTTTTCTTAACTGCTGGTATTTGGCACAAGAGCCCAAAATAACTGGTTAACAGCTATAACTTAAAATGTAATGGTATTCTTTTTTTAAAAATTTTGTTTGATTGCTTAAAGTATTACAAAGAGTATTGCATATGTCTCCTTACCCCCACTCCCCTTGACGTTCCCCCAGCCTCCCCTCCCCCCCAGTGTCTTATGTCCATTGGTTATGCTTATATGCATGCATACAAGTCCTTCGGTTGATCTCTTACCCCCCTCCCGCCCCCCAACCCTCCCCAGCCTTCCCGCTGTAGTTTGACAGTCTGTTCGATGCTGCTCTGCCTCTGTATCTATTTTTGTTCATCAGTTTATAATGGTCTTTATTATCCATACATGAGTGAGATCATGTGGTATTTTTCTTTCATTGACTGGCTTATTTCACTTGTAATGGTATTCTTGTTTTTTCTCCTGATGGAAGGACTCCCCTCCTGTGAGCCAAGCTCTGTAAACCTATGGGATTTAGAGTTGCAGGGGTAAGAAGCCTAGATTCCCCAAACAGGGCACTGAGAGAGAGGGTACTCAGAGCCACTTCTCCTTCCAGTCCTTATTTCCAAGATCCGCATGTTCTTGCTGTTGGGGACCCAGCAGGGTTTTTAGGGTTTATACTGCATGCTAGAGCCTGGAGTGCCATTTTGTAGGGTTATCTCCAAGTTGGTATTTCACTGACACATTCAAATGGCTCTCTCTCTAGTGTGGCAAGCTGGCAGTTCCTGAGTTGTATGGTACGTGAGAGGGTTTATGTATTCCACAGTCTTGCCATGCACCCACTTTGCTGTAAGTGGGCCTTGTGGTCTGGTGTGATATGGTTTAGCACGCTGGTCAGTAGAGCAAGCATTCTGCAAACGCACAGGTAGTGGTGCTGGTTCTCTTTGAGGGATGGTGGTGTATTGGGGTTCAGGATTGGTCTCTGTTGTCAGTAGCTACCTTGTCCTTAGAGAGTAGGGCCTGTGCAGAGCCTCCACCACTGCCACCATGGTTCTCTGTTCATGTGCCAGCACTGGGGTGGCCAATGGCTGGCCAGTGTCCACCAGCTGAGTCGTTCAGTCCCCCTCTTCTGTGCTGGACGTCCATGGTAGACATTAACCACCCATACAGATGTCATGCTTCATGTCCATTCCTTTAGCCAGGTCCACATGCCTCTTCCTGAGGTCTCTTTGACCTCCTCCTTCCAGTCCCCTGAACAATCAACCAAGTCATTTACCATGTCCAGTGAATCCATATGACATTACCTCAGACTACTTCTCTTTCCACTCAAGTGGATGACCAAATAAATGCTCTGCCCATGCTCTGCCCATTGGGAGGATTTCCCTTCGTCGCTGTCTTTTAAGATCACCCCTGAGTGGAGCTGCAGTGCCGGCCACAGTCCATTTTCAACTTTCACTTGTCTACTGAGCCAACCCTTCTATGAACCAAATTTGGCCATTTTCCTCTCTGCCACTTGGTCATAAGGGCCCCACCCCCATGCAGCAGGAGGTGTGAACTGAGGAAGAGGTTTTGGTGCAACAGAGGTGATGGACATGATGGTCTGGCATACCTGCCTCTGCAG